TGCTCCCATGTTATTCGACGATAATCAAAGAATAAATCGCGTAAATGATATGCAAATATCTCCGCTAATAGATACATGAGTTTGTTGATTTTCTTTTAACTACTCTATAGGAGCTAAATAACTATGTTGAGGCTAGTCAGAGCGAGATTGTAGAGCAAAGAATTTCCAGTCAGTTGGAAAATCTCGAAGGAAAGCGGAAGGGGATGGTCACGAGTTTGGAGATACCCGAACTAAAGGCAGATACTTTTGCGAGGAGCAAGAAGTTGGATTTCATCGAGAAACAAAGCCGAACTCTACAGGACCTGTACTCCGTAGTAACTCGAATGACGAAAGAGGCCTGTCTTTGCAACTATATCCTTAGAAGAGCTTTCTACGATTTTACCTACCATAGCCTGAGATCAGCACATAATGATCTCAGCGCTCGTCTGGGGGACCTAGAATCGGAAGAAGAGCGCATGACGGATGAGGAGAAAAGAAAACTGAAAACCCTTCTCTCATACCGAAAAGGCAGGATTAGTCAAATTAAGCTGCTGGAGAAACAGTGGATGCGACTTTTCTCCCCGGTATGTTAACGAGGAAACAAAATGTTTAAAGCAAGTTACTCAACTCCACAAAATTAAATAATGAAGCCCCCTAGTAAGGCCATTTCGTACAGGTTGTGATTTCAAGCAATATGATTCCTTTCTCTTAAAGAGTGATTTTGTATTCGAGACTATCAGTACTCGTGTTCTGAACCATGGAGCTTAAAATACGTAGAGCCGTCGTTGTAGCCCCTTTTGAATGGTTTCACATATGTAATCCTCCTCTTGAGACAACTTTATTGAGTGACTCTCTTACAATTTTCCAATGCTTGCCTATCCATTTTCAGTTGAGTTTGGCTCGGTCATTCATAAGTTTGGGCTTAGCAAATTCGAGGAGCCCAGAAAAATAATGGGGTATTAGTGGGAAAGTTCCCACGCCTGGTTTTGAGGCCTAAACATTGTACAATGCTTCAACCTTAACCACATATGTTGGAAAGTTTTATTTTCCGAGCATTTTGCTCCATCACGCCTCGATGCCAAGTTAACTGACAAGCTGAGCACTGATCGAAAAGACGGCGTTCCATTCTTTTATCCGTCATGGGGCATGTAAAGGGGCTATGGTCGCAAGAACCTGCAAAAACATCATATCCATCAAATTGAACCATCGAAAATAAATGTACGTATTTGGGTTAACGTGCCGTCAGGTCTTTTCCTCGTTGTGAATTGGTTACGTGCTTGAGTACATAGAAGAACAGTCTTCATTGTGCTGGATTTAGCAATGCACTATGCTATCGCGTGGTTGTATTTTTTAATCCCTATCATTTTCTTTTCCATGTACAGGTTGATGGGTTGAAGAAATTTCCGACAGCTCCTTCCACTTCTTATTCTTCGAGTCAAACTGAAGCATCACCTCAGGTTTTTAAAATTTTTCCAGTTCCAATGCATACTTCTACGTTCAAAAGTATTTTCGACACTGAAGATTATGATTCCTTCCCTTGCTGTTTTCTAACAATAACAGATTACACCGGTGTTTACCGAGGAACACATTTTTGGCAAAGCTGAATCAAGTTCCAGCCAGTGTTTGTAATTTAGATCCATTAGCCACGCACAGAGAACGTTTTATTTTTTCTTTTAATATTTTCCTATTTTGTTCTGAATTATCATTTTCATTTTCTTAATCTAATCTTAAGGATACGAATGTTGACTATGTCAAGTCCGGGAGGAAACGGCAGCATTAAATTGTCGAACGTCTGTTCTTCTGAGTTTCAGTTCGTCTGGTCTGATCGATTCGAGGGAATGACTTTCTCTGAGTGATGAAAATGGAGTTGCTCTAAACTGGCTTAAGTTTTCTATTGAACAGAGCGAACAGAGGAAGGGTAACCCGTTATAGCAAGACAAATCTACAAACCAGCCCCTGTCCCCAGATAACATGATTCGRAAWTWMCSKTKTATKRTTACATATAATTTTTTTTTCTTTTGAACAGATCCCCAGAGCAAATTCAGAAGGAGCCCAGCCAAAGAATAAGCCGGTAACTGAGAGAATTTTTATCCTAAATAGAAACCAAAACTACTTTTCTAAGAAGTCCCTAAGAGAACCGTAGCTATTTGAGTTACACCTGTGCAACAATTGATGTGACTACTGATTTTATTCAATAACCATTGAGTTTTTCTGACCTTAAATTTAAAAGAGAAGAAACTGGAATAAGGGTGTATTGTGACAGGTCTACGCAGCATTTATCTACTAGAGCGTGAGTATAGTAATAATAAAAACTCACGTATAGAAATGATCCCTGCAGATGAGCTGCATTTGAAGCAATTACACAGAAGAAGCCTGAGAAAAGTTCAGGCTTCGACGAGAATCGAACTTGTGCCACCCAGATATAACTCAGATAATAATCCTTTACTCCCCAAAGCCACAATATACATTTTCCTAACTGTTTGCCCTGACACCGACAAGGAGAATTTGTTTAACATTGAAGGGCTCCCTTACTTCGTTATAGTTTCCTTTATTCACGCGACCCTTTTGTTTGATTCAGCATTTATGATACAACAAGAAATTAGATGCTAGTCACTCTTTGGGGTCAAAAAGTTAATTGACGCTAATTTTGCGTTTCTCATTGCAGTCAAAGATCCCCAAGCCGAG